AGCTGCTCCGCGGCATGTGGGATCCTCCCGGACTGGGGCACAAACCCGTGTCCCCTGCATCAGCAGGCAGACTCTCAACCACTGCGCCACCCGGGAAGCCCTTAAACTCATTTTTAAATGAGAAAACTGAGACTCACCACTCTTGTTCTGTGGCTTCAAATCAAAATCTGTTCTTTAATTCAATGCATTTGTTAAGCCCCTACTATGCATTGGCAGGTGCTCTTCAGCATGATAAACAGACTACCAAGGACTCTGCTTCGACACAGCTTCTACTCCAGTGGGGAATACACATAACAAACTTTCAGAGTGTGATAAGTTATACAGACAGAAGAGGGACAAGGGGAGCTATTTTGTACTGGGTGGTCAGGAAGGGTGTCTTTAAGACCAGAATGAAGAGAGCCAGTATGTGAAGATCTGAGAGAAACACTCCAAGAAAAAGTAATATAAGTACAAATACACTGAGAATGGAATGTGGTTGAAGTGGTTTAAGAACAGAAGGAAGATCTGCATGACCAGAGTACAGCAAGTAAGGGGAAGAGTGTAAGGAGATGAGATTAGAGAAGGGGGAGTGTGCGGGGCCTTGATGCCACAGTTAAGTACTCTGAATTTTATTCTATGTGTGATGTGAATTCACTGGAAAATTTTAAAGAAAGGAAGGACATAATCTGATTCAAGTTTTTAAAAGACTGCTATGGACAACATGCAGAAAGACTGCAGGGAAACAAAAATGGAAGATGGGAGACCAGTTAGAGAAGCATTACACAAGTGGTCCAGGCAAAAAATGCTGCCAGCTTGGTTCAGAGCAGGAGCAGTACACATGACAAAAGTGGGAGCATTTGGAATCTATTTTGAAGGTGAAATTCACTAATGGATTGAGTTAGAAGGACAATAAAAAGAAAACTGAAGGACTGTTCTGAAGTTTTCAGCTTGTGGATATGAGTAAGTGGCAGTGCCATCTCTGGAATAGAGAAAAGTAGAGGAAAAACAGATTGCAGTTTTTATTTGCCACTAGATATGTTTTCCCTCCCCAGAGTTTGTGAACACTTTCTACTAAGCCTGTGCTCTAGAGCCCATGAGCCACAACTACTGAGCCCACATGCCACAACTACGGAAGCCCGCGTGCCTAGAGCCCATGCTCCGCAACAAGAGAAGCCACCACAATGAGAAGCCCACGCACCGCAACGAAGAGTAGTCCCCACTCTCCACAACTAGAGAAAGCCCGTGCGTAGCAGCGATGACCCAACGCAGCCAAAAAAAAACAAATAAATAAATTTATTTTTTAAAAATGTAAAATTTTGCTGTATGTAACATTCATTCTAAAGGTATTCTTTCTCCAATATATGGCCTTCACATCCCAAAGGAAAATTACTTTCTGACTGCTCCCATTCTACATTTATACACCACAATATTTTAAGTCTTTAAGATATAATAAGTTAGAAAAACTAAAAATGTGGGTCAGGGAAGAGAGAAAAAAAACTTGGATGCTTGAAATAAGCCATCTGGTAATTTTTATGTAACAAATTCCTACCTGTTTCTAAAGAAACTACTTCTTAACTTTCAACTTTCAACCTTCAAGCAGGGAAACTCAATGAAACTCAGACCAAATTCTGAGTCGGCTCTCTGAATTCCTCCTACAAATATACCTGGGCTCCCTATTCCCTAACAATGCCGGAGTACAGTTCTAAGAGCCAAGGCTACTTTGCTTCGGATTCCTTTCCCAATCCCAAGACTTAAAAATCCCTATTCCTGCTCCACACCCAGTTTCCTCGTTGTCCTAATTATCTTCAAAAGGAATATAGAAAAAGTATGCAGAAGTAAATTCACATGTATTCAAGTTTCACATAAAAGCAATTAAAGGTTACTGGATCATGGCTTCCCTGACTCAGCTTTCTGTAGCAGCACTGTCTAACTGAACTCACTGTGACAATACAAATATTCTACATCTACACTAACACGTAGCCTCTAGCAACATGTGACTACTGAGCACTGGTTACTGTAACTGAGGAACAGCATTTTTCATTTCTGTGGTTTAGTGCTACCATACTGGATAGTGCAGCTGTACATCTAATCAGGGATCTGTCAAATCCTTCTTCGAAGTTTTTCTTGTCATCAAGAGGTGAAAACAAACCCCTCTTCTGATCACTGCTCTACCAAAGTAATTATCACTTCTAAATTGCAAAGCTAATTTATAATTTAATTTAAATAGTTAATACTGACTTATTGCTTTAATAGTTACTTAAATCTTCTACTGTTAACTTTTCATTTCTTTCAGGCTTTGTTCCTAAATTTGAAGGCAAGGGTATGTCAAATACCCCAAGAGTAAGGTCCTCCACAAAGCATTCAGTCAAATGTTAATCAAAGGAGATAAGGGAAAGACAGAGAGGTAAGAAAGATTAAGTTAGGAGATTTTCTGCAAAGAACCCACACATTATTCCTCTTCTGCATTACTAAAAGCTCAAAATACAGATGAGTTCTGGATAGGTTCCTTGCCTAGCAACATGGCTCAATGCTCTTGGGGGAGTTTTTCCTGCTTTCTCTTCACACCTTTAGGAAAACAGTATCTTAGTTCATGAAGGGAAACTGAAATGAACCTAGGTCTAAACCAGAATCCAGGCTCCCCCTGAGGCCTTAAGGGGCTCCTTCCTAAATAGTTTCTAGTAAGTCAGATAAAATACATTTCCTCAAATGGTGTCAATGAGGCAGATGGAGTACAATGAAGGAATAGAGAAAGAGAGCACCATCACTCTCTCCCCTACCCCAAACCAAAGAGGATAAGGAAAAGAAAAAGAAAATATTGTAGTCAACCAAAAGTAGCCTCTGTGGCATCAATTTCTATTGCTACTATGGCTATACAATTTATATGTTATTTCAATCTTTTGAAAAGAAGACTTCAGCCATTTTTACCTGTCATAGATTACCATGTCTAAGGGAAACTTTTTACCCTAAGGAAAAACTACTTATTTTCTAAAGAATGTTTGATTAAAATATAAAAAGTATAACTCATTCTAATTTATTCTAAGTGGAAGAAAACTTGATTTCCAATCGCTGAACACTGCCCATTTGAAATAAATAAAAGCCAGAGCACGAAATGACTTCTTTTCTATATGCTTCTCTCCAAGAATCATACACAACAAATGAACTGGCATTTAAAAAAACTTAGATGTTTCATCAAACACTTAAGAGTACTTAATGCAAAAGCACAATATTAGGTGCCCAATAAATGATTCATGTCACAACCCAAAATCCAGGGTTGTGATCACAGCAGAATATCTTTAACATAGGTATGTTTTTATCCTCTCTCCATACACTAGAAAAGAATGCTACAATGTTCTGGAGGAGTTTCTACTTTAAAATCTATGTATACCTACACATTTGAAAACAGCAAAATATTCAACTTTGATGTTAGTGAAGGATGGCCAACTGCTAAACTCGATTCCTTCTCTTGAGCTTATTTCAAAAATAAATAAAATAACCCATAGCTCTGTCCCATCAAGGAGGGCAGGGGTGGGGTGTGGGGCAGGAATCAGTCTTCCCCTAAGTTGTTCTACTGCTTTACAGTTTTGCAAGAGCCAGAATTTGTTGAGAAGGTGATGACTCCACCTTGTTCCATAAACTAATTTCCTTTGGTATTGTGGAAGAGCAGAGTACATTAATTCCTGGTTGATTTCTTTACAGATTGTGTCAGAAATTAAGAACTTCCTTTAAAATAAAGAATTAAGTCTTTTAAACCAAATCTTTTTATAATTTGAGGAAACTGGTTGCAAGAATCAGATAATGTTACTTGAGCAGAACACATTTTAACTTCTACCAGATTCACGTATGTAAAATAAACAAATATTTTTGCCAAAGAAGTATTCTATAATTTAGCTGCCTGATAGAGCTATTTTTCTTTTGAAGTTTTAAGGATATTAATACAGTCAAACTGGAAAAGTACAAATTTCAAGTGACAAATCAATATCTAGCTATAGATATTCTATGTCCACACACCTTATATTTTATTTAGTTAAGCAGTAGGAGGGTGTATGTGTGGAAAAGCAGATGAAATAAGGAATATAAAGGATCATCACAGAAGGGAACCAAAAAAAGAAAACCCCACTTATCTTGGGAAGAAGTAACTGGATAAATAAAACCATGAATATAAATCCTTCAACCAAAGGTAAGGATACAAATTTAACTGAAGCCAATAAAGATCTTTAAATAATCCAACAACTGGTGCCTACATGAAATGAATTGGTGATCTCAGTTCAGATATCCTGGAGGTCTTATTAATGTGAGTGTACAGTACTGAAGGTAACATGTATAAAATAAAAATAAATTCCATTTCAGATATGGGTAAACAGCAATTACATTAAATTACTATTTTCACAAGATATCTGAAATGGTTCAAAATTATTTAAAATTTTGCTACTTCCAAAAACAAGTATTAAATAATACCCATTATGCCTCAAATGCACATACATCAAAAAATACATACTAAAACTTATTTACTTTGTGGGATTTTTTTTTAAGTATACTACAAATTCTGAGGTTTTAACCATCAAGAATTTTTCTCTTTAATTTTATTAAGAAAAGCTCTCACGTTAGCAAAGAGAAGTTAAGGAAATCCCCAGTCTATTTGGTATAATATACAGCACTATCAATCCCTCAAATAAAAAGTGTGTCAAGCTATACTGAATATTAAGCAGGCTTATCAATAGTTAATAATTATTAAAATCAAAGGAAATTTTTTAAATACTCAAGTTGAACAGCATTACTTGTTAGAAGAGGTTCAATAACACTTTAAAAATATAACTTAAATTCAAAAATCCCACAACATACACCAGCCAGAATAAATTTGCTGGGTTTTGTTTGGCTCTGTTTTAAAATAAGCCTGTATATATACCACAAGGGCTTTGTATATATTACCATTTCCTAAAGACAAAAATTTTCAATGACTTAAATTTGGCAATTCATCTCTAATTATCTGATTCTGCATTTTAAAAGTCATGAATTCCACTTACCACATATTTTACAGCACTTATAAACTGGTTGTGGAAGAGCAGATGCTGTGTTTCATCTTCTGGATTTGAAGCTGTGTAAAGCATGCCACAAACATTACAGGAAACCGCTCCAAATCTTTTTTGTCCTGCATCCTATTTATAAAAAACAAACAGAAGGTTTTTTTCCCCCCCAAAAGAATAATTCCAGAACATCAGCCTCTAAAGCTATAACATGAACATAGAGTGAGAAGTGTTTAAAATAACATTCAATGTTGATTATAAAAACTAAGATGTTAATCTTTGAAATCTGTATGTAATTTTATTAAGAACTGTTTTCCATTTTAGTAATCACTCACTCCACAGCATTTAATAACAACTGAAAGGAACTGAGAAGTATCTTTAACACTACAATCTTAGTTCTAAAGCCCCAAACAGCAAATACTTTATAAATAAGAACTAGTATGTATTTTGTATCTGTGAATAATTATACTGCTACAGTTTAGAAGAAATAATGTTTCATAGACATCTTTGGTTTTGCTCTAGTTATATTAAAAAGAGTATTTATGTCACCAGAAACTCTTGAGAAAAGGTAAAATTATTTTCTTTATATCAAATAAGTATGAAAGACTGATTATAATCACCTGTACTCCCGTAATTCATACTTGTGCTGTAGAATAGTAATTGTTTACAAAAGGTTTTCTATTCTTGTCCTTATTTAACAAGAAAAATTACAGCAATATGATCTAACTTTAAGAATAATATATTAACTAAAAAAAGCATAATCCCTTTATTTTCCCTGCTCTAAAACTGTATAATTTCAACTAATTACAGGGGAAAAAAAGGATCTCAGATAACTGTATGCTAGTGCCTAACAGCTAGGGTCACAGAGCAGAGAGAAATCAAATGGTAAATAAAAGATTGTATATAAAACTAAAGGGAAGTTCATTCTAAAAGATTCAAACTATTGACAAAATGTTACCTGAAATTTCAGGGAGTTAAAAAAAATTTTTTTTTATTGTGGTTAAGATATAAAACATAGTATTTACCATCTTAACCATTTTTAAGTGTACAATTCAGCAGTATTTAGTACACTCACATTGTTGTGCAACCAATCTACAGAATTATTTTTATTTTGCAAAACTGAAACTCTAGGGACTTTCCTGGCAGTCCAGTGGTTAGGGCTCCACACTTCCACTGTAGGGGGCACAGGTTCGATCCCTGTTCAGGGAACTAAGATCCCACATGCCGCAAGGAGTGGCCAAAAAAACAAAAACAAAACAAAAAACTGAAACTCTATACCCATTAAACAACAGCTCCCCAACACCGCCCCCCCAGCTCCTGGAAACCACCATTCTACTTTCTATCTCTATGAATTTGACTATTCTAGGTACCTTATATAAGTAGAATCATACAGTATTTGTCTTTTTGTGACTGACTTATTTCACTTAGATAATGTCCTCAAGGTTCAACCATATTATAACATGTCAGAATTACCTTCCTTTTTAAAGGCTGAATAATATTCCACTGTATACATACACAACACATTTTGTTCAGCCATTCACCCACTGATGGACACTTTAGTTGCTTCCACCTTTTGGCTACTGTGAATAACGAATACAGGTATACAAATATCTCTTCAAGAAGGCAGTATTCACAGTAATGAGTAAGCAGCTGCCTTAGTTTCCTCACTGGTAAATGGAAAATAATAGTTGTACCTATCTCATACTTTTTTATAAGGCTTAACGTAATTAAGTGGAGGAGATGGAACAATGCATTCAAAAATATTAGCTGCTATTATGATCATTAACATCATCATCATTACCATCAACTCTTGACCAGCACTATCCAACAGAAATGTAATCCACAAAGGTAATTTTAAATTTACTAGTAGCCACATTAAAGACTGCAAAAGCAAACAGGTAAAATTAATTTTAATAATATATTTTATTTAACAAAATATATCCCAAATGTTATAATTTCAACATGTATTAAATATTTTTAAAAATTAGTGAGATACTTTACATGCTTCTTTGTACTAATCTTTGAAATGCAGTACATATGTTTACACATAGACCATACCTCGGTTGTGACAAGCAACATTTCAAGTGCTCAACAGTCACATGTGGCTACCATATTGGACAGTGCAGCTCTAGATTCTACTTGTCTAATCCTGTTTCACTATCATACTGATTTGACAACAGAAACATTATTAAATTCGATGAAACAACTTTTTCCCTCACTAATCTTTCGCAAAAATTTCTAGAAAATTCTTACGAAGTTATTCTCCCATATTAAAGTTATAATCAATCTAGTACCAAAAAATCCTATTAATTATGTTAACTGGAACTACATTAAATGTTCCTATTATTTTGGGTTCTTCATTTTTTTATATACTGTGCTCACTCAAATTAGATTTTTAATCAATCAAAATATCTCCCTCTTTTCCACCTTGCCACCAAATTGTACTTATTTTCTAATTCAAATTAACTATTGGTTTATCTTCCTGTAAAATGTAGTTTTAAAGTTATAACATACACTAAAATACAGATATTTAAAATCATCTTATTTATTAAACTCCATGTTATTTTAATATTTAAACTACTAAAAAAAGGTAGTGATCAAATGACACATTTAAGAAATAAATGTGAAATAAAGTGTCAATCTGTTGTAAATAAAACTAGAAGTATGGAAATTTGAATTTTTATTATTTGTTATAGGATGGAATCACTGGGGGGTGGCTGTTGTAATACCAAGAATATTTCCATAATTAAGACTTATGGCGACAAAAAGCTTTTTAGGTAAAAAATGAATTTATTCCTTGACAATGTGCATAAATAAGATGCTTATAACATTTCACCAAAAAGGTCAAGTTGTATACTTACTATGATCAACTGTTTTTCATCAGCTTTCTCTGCTTCTTTTAGTTTCAATTCTTTTGGAATTGTTATCTCCAAATGGGAATTACACTTAGGCCAAGAATGATTTGGTGGTATCTCCCTTTAAAAAAACAACCAACCAAACAAACAAACAAAAACTATTAAATGTTATAGATCCATATCACTTCAAATCACTGGTAGGGAAAAAAAAACTTATTTTCTATACAACACTGACAAGTATCAATTCCAAGGGGGGAAAAATCACCTTTTAAAAACCAAAACAGGGAAGGAAACCCAAAGATACAACTAACTTGCATCAAATAAACAAAAAACTGCAGCACTAACTATAGTAGGAGTAAGTTTTACATTTCATAGTTTTAGCAGTTTGAGTCACTACAGTTTGTCCTAAATACTATTTTCAGCAATGAGCTAAAGCTAAAAAATCATACTAATTTAATTTTGAAATTAAAGACAACAAAAAGCTTTTAAGCTACTGAAAACACTTTTTACATGTTGCTAATACTCATATCATGGGGGTTTTGGGGAAAAAGGAGCATTCTCAAACACTGTTGCTGGGAATATAAGACACAACCAATTTGCAGGGAAATTTGGCAATGCAGGTTAAGTCCTACAGCTATGAATTTATCCTAGATATAGTCACATAAGTAGACAAAGATATATGTGTTTATTGCAGGACTTTTTTTCCCTAATAGGAATAAACTAGAAACAACCAAAGTTTCTATAAAGTAGAGAATTGTTAAACAATGGAATATTCACACAATGAAATCTACTGCAGAATTTAAAAGAATGAGGAAGGAATGTAGAAAAGATGCCCATATCACATTAAGTAAAAAAATAAAAGCTACGAAATAGTATGTACAGACATAGAAAAAACTAAAATGAAAAGAGAACTTGTATCACCTCTATGTGAAAAACTGAGAGTTACTAGCACAACCTTTCAGGGGAAAAAAACCCCAAACTCAAAACTTACAGGTATAAAATCCTTAAGTTCTCATATTTATACTTATATTAAACTAATACCTTACCTGTTATCACTGGTCTTAGATGTTTGGTTAGTGAGTATATTGTGCTGTTTGGGAGCTGAACCTGTGATTTAATCAAAAGATGGGTTATGTACTAAGCCTTTGTACTAGCTCTCCACCTAATGGTTAAAAATTATAATAAAGACAAAACCTCAGTGCACTAAATGCTTTACTTTTAATAAACACCAATTGATAAAATTAGAGCCCCTTCCTAGAAATTACTCTTCAGAGAAGAGGCAAAAAGGCTCTACAGAGCTGCAAAGAGATCTAATGGTAGATCAAGTTTGTCTCTAGTTTCACCAATAATTACTAGCACTGAACAATAAAGGAAACTGTTTAAATGCTTGCATAATTATACAATCACTACATGGAAATAAATGAAAACATGTTTAAAAAAACCTGTAGGACTTCCCTGGTGGCACCGTGGTTAAGAATCCGTCTACCAATGCAGGGGACACGGGTTCGATCTCTGGTCCAGGAAGACCCCACATGCCATGAAGCAACTAAGCACGTGTGCCACAACTACTAAGCCTGCATTCTAGAGCCCGTGAGCCGCAACTACTGAAGCCCGTGAGCCTAGAACCCGTGCTCCGCAACGAGAAGCCACTGCAATGAGAAGCCCGAGCACCGCAAAGAAAAGCAGCCCCCGCTCATTGCAACTAGAGAAAGTCCGCGCACAGCAATGAAGACTCAACGCAGTCAAAAATAAAATATAAATAAATAAATTTATAAAAAACCAAACCCAAACAAAAAAAACCCTGTAGTCTCTGGAGTTTTAATCAAATTACTAATCAAATAATGCAATAATCAATTTATTTTCTAATGAATAAATGCATTTCTTGTGTTCATAGTATACTTCCCCTTCCCCCACTAAGAGAAAAGGTTAAATGACATTCAATGGAAGCAATTATCTGAACTGAATATTTTGCTCCAAGTGTATCTTTCCTTTACCAGAGAGAAACAACAGAAATTAGGAATTTCTCTTCTGTTTCTCCTGGTGCTTCATCTGATAAAGGTGAACTAATCCCCATCCAAGAGTTCAAATAATACTTGCCCAATTTTTTTTTTTTTTGGCCACATCACACAGCTTGCGGGATCTTAGTTCCCGGACCAGGGGTTGAACCCGGATCCCGGCAATGAAAGAGCCGAGTCCTAACCACTGGACCGCCAGGGAATTTCCCCCCCAAATTTTCATAAGGTTACAAAAATAAAGGTTTTTTATGGTATAAGTGGACAAACTGCAGCAAATGATTAAATTCTTAATTCAGAGATAGAATTACCAAGATGGAAAACTGAGTAATTAAGGGTTAAAGATAAGAACCTGAAGTGGTAAAGCACAGTCATTTATACTTGAGAAATAAACTGCTACCACTAATTTAAGCAATTCATTAAGTAACACTTCTCCAGAAAGTAAGTCCACAAACAAAAGACTGAAAAACAAAAGAATTTTTGGTAGGGAATCAAAGAATCATCTTAAGTACTGTAAACAAGCCAATCAACAGAAGCAATTCTCTTCCTTCAAAGAATGGTGATAATCACACATCAGAAAAACATAATGGTTAAAAGAAGGATTTAACAGGCTTATTTGGTAGTGGATATAGTTTACTGTTATGCTGACAAAAATATGTCTGACCACTGTGAAATCCAAACAATATTTTCAAAGTATTACCTGGAAATTTACTCTCCCCTGTATCAATTTTTGCTTGACTGAGCAGAGTTGAAACAGTAGTAGTGGTATTTTCCACTGGATTGTTTTCAAGCTTAGATTCCAAACATAGGCTGCAATTCTAAGCACATATAATTTAAAACGTTAATATTTGCTTTTATATCAACCTTTGGGTCTTATCCCAATACTTTCAGTGAATTTTAGCACTATACTAAGAAAATTTAAGATAATACATGGAGTAATTCACACAGATATGCCTTAAAAGTCTCTTTATGATCTCCCTACAAGCTGTCCTTCTCAGCATCAACTTCTATTATTCCTCTTCACACTAGATCGAAAAATTTACCTCTCCAACAGATACATATTTGCCTGGCTCTATACTTTTTCTGAGTTTCATCTACCTAAACCTCACTGTCCATTAACAGCCACTGTAACATCTCACTACTGAGCACTTAAAATGTGGTTAGCATGACTGATTTATTACAAATGTAAATCACACACCAGATTTTGAGGTGTTAGTACAAAAAAGTAAAACACCTCAATTTTAAAAATTCATGACACATTGAAATAATAGTATTTTTATATGACAAGTTAAATAAAATCTATTAATTTTACCAATTTCTTTTTTTTTAATGTGGCTACCAGAAATTTTTAAACGATTTATGTGGCTCACATTATATTTCTACTGGATAGTGCTAATCTAGAACACCTTACCCCCTGTATAAACTCAAGTCATCACTTAAATATTAACCTCTCCCATGAAGTCTCCTCCAAGTTTTCCCATCCCCTTTCCCCAAATTTTCCATCTACTTCATCTCCTTCATGCCCTTATCACTTCCTATTTTGAATTAGTTATTTGTTTTTTATTAATCTCCTATAACTCTTAAGAGCAAAGACTATTATTATTATATTTATCTTTGTATTCCCAAGAGCCCCTAAATCAGAACTCTGTCAAAGCAGATACTCAATAACTACCGAAGGAAAATACTACAAACTCTATCAACATTAGCTGTCTTAAAGAAATGGAAATGAGGAGGTGAACAATTAACTTTCTATGTGTATGTATGTGTGTGTATCTATATTGTGATTGTTACAAAGAACATGTAACATTATTTGTGAACATTACATTTTTGAAAAATGAACATTATTTTTGTCATTAAAAAGCAGAAAAATTAAAAACAGTAAGAACAATTACATGTTACTACTTAATCTCCATTAGGAAGTTAGTAAATTACTAGTTTAAAAAACAAATCAGGGCTTCCCTGGTGGTGCAGCGGTTGGGAATCTGCCTGCCGATGCAGGGGGCGCGGGTTCGTGCCCTGGTCTGGGGGGAATCCCACGTGCCGCGGGGCGGCTGGGCCCGTGAGCCATGGCTGCTGGGCCTGTGCGTCCGGAGCCTGTGCTCCGCAGCGGGAGAGGACGCAACGGTGAGAGGCCCACGTACTGCCAAAAAAAAAAAAAAAAAAAAAAAAAAATCATAAAATAATTGAGCTTTAAAATTCATAAAATCCAAATAATTTAAATTCAGGCCAAAAAATTCAGAGAAGGGCTATCATATGCTCAGCCTTATCAACCATCATCATTTTTCAGTACTGCTGAGACTGACACCATATAATAAAAAGAGCAAAATTACAAGCAGCCACAGAAAAAGTTTTCAAATGATTTAAGGATTGTTTTTTACATTCTCCTATTTCCCCAAGTATAAATCTAGATTCTGAAGCCAGCCAATCTCAGTTCAAAGCCTGACTCCATCACTTACATGGATCTCTAAGCCTCACTTAAATCTCTAAGCTTCACTCTCCTCACTTGTAATATATGGATAATAACAGAAGTCATGCTGTAGAATGTGGTGACAATTATATGAAGTTCTCCTATGCCTAACAAAGAGGCAGTGTTCACTAAACAAAAGCTACTCTGATGGCTGAACTAAAACATCTTAGCGTTTATGGGAAGAAGAGAAGTTTCTAAGTGACTAGTACAATGTAAATTCCTTAAAGGCAGGAAACATCATCTTCTGTAGCCTTATTAGCACAGTGTCTCGGATGCAGCAGGCAATCAAATATGTCTTGAAATGATGTGGTCTCCACCACATCTCCTGACCACTCTGTGATAGTAATCACATTGTTGGTATCAGTGAAAAAGTTGGAAACAACCTAAAAGTGCTTTAACAGAGGAAAACATAAATAAACTGTAGTTCATATTCCTCTACAACTATTAAAATACCCATGTATTAATAAATATCAAATGTGCTGATTGCACAAAATCAAGTTGAAAAAAATATGTATATATAGAATATACACATACAAACTATGTTAGCATTTATGTAAACGTTTAAAATACAAACAATGCTAAGTATTCTTTATAATAGATATATACACATACACAGTGAAATCAAAAATAAAAACATAAAATATTCATACCAACTTTAGAAGCATATTTAACTCTGGGGAGAGAGGTGAATGGAAAGTAGAGGGAAGTATGGTCTTTGTATCTGTAATGTACTTTTCTTATTTTAAAAAACCTGAAGTCGATAAAATGTTAATTTTTGTCAAATTTGGGTGGTAGTCACTAGTGTAGTATTGGTCTCTCTAGTATTCTAAACGTTTGAAACTCAAGACTTCTCATGTAAATTTGTACGTAAATAAAAATGTTAACACAAGTTTCATAGGACTGTTTTTCATAACATTCCTCAAGATAGAGGTGTTGCATAAATCCAAAGCACATCTCAGTAAAAGCAGCATTACAGAAGATCAAAATAATGTAGTCTAAACATCTCTATTCTAGTAGTTAGTCCAAAGGAATGGATTTCTTATTTCTCAATATATTCCCCATAAACTATCTGCCTTCTGAGTTTTGACAGGCACTTATGCAGCAAGGAGTTAAAAGATACACTCTGCAACTACCCCTGGAGTGTAGCTGTCAATTTTTGACAAAAGCACACCCTGAAGAGAAAGCCACTCTGTGTCTGCAAGAGGCCACACTTAATATTCATTCTACCACTCACTACTTACTTTAATTACTATCACTATTTGCATAATTGTCTTCTAATTGATGCTTTCATTCACGTTTGCACAGAAAATAAAATCTAAGAGTACCACATTGTATCTTCACATTGTTCCCTTTAAGTTCTTTCAATTTTAGTCCACGAAAGTAGCCAATAATCTATTTTCGGGGCTTCTGACACAAGCCCTGACTCCTTACTCAAATTTGCTTCTAGACCCAAATGCCTCAAAAGAGAACTTTAAATCACTCCTAAAACTTTAAGGTGACTTGACTTTCTTCTCTACCCACGATTTTTTTCTCAAATGATCTTCTAATATTCAGAGTATCTCACTGTAGAAAGAATGATGGGCTGAGAATCAGAACACCTGAATTCAAATCTATTTGCACAACCAAACATGTGACCTAACCCACATTCCTCTATTGTTCTCAGCTTTCTCATTATAAAATTAAATAACTAAAACAAATTGGTAGAGTTCTAAAAATCAGTATTATACAGCGCTAAAGTTCGACACACATAAAATTTCTGCCTATTGCTTTTATATATTGGTATTTTACCTACGATTTAATTTGGAAAGAAATGGGCTCAGCTGCTTTTATAAGGTTTCAAAACTACTTCTCAGATAATCATTCAAGTTTCTTCCAGCTATTTAGATTCTGTTTTTCAATTTACTTTTCCATTTTAAAAATTCTTGGCCCCTACAATTTTATTCTTAGCCTGAGGTCTGAATTATTTACATCTTTCAGACATTTTATTTGCCAATTGTTTAAAATGGCCACACAAGTCAAACCAAAAGACATCTCTACTATTAGAAATGTTTAATTTTTAAATTTTATCTGGTGGGGAAAGTTGATTTGTACCAGCTGAAATTAATTTTAACAACTTGGTCAGAATTGGGCCCAACTTCAGAATTGGGCCCAACTTCAAGTTCTACATTTTAGTCACTCACTATGAAACACAGTTTCTGTGGTTACAATTAATAGAAAAAGGAAACAAATCAGTGTGTTAAAGGAAAAAGAAAAGCTAGACTTCAACAGGTTTATGCTTCACATAAAATTAAAATGAAGGGTGAAAACAAGGAAACAATGACAAGCATTCATGTAAATATGAGACATCTAAAGGCATCAGTAAGTTCTATCACTCACTACAAGACTGGGTTAATAAAATAGAATTCCTTAACATTTTACAACTTAATTCTTAAGTTAAAATATGTTGGAAACACTTAAATCTTAGCAGAAAGTACTCAGACACCTCTATGTACATGATGAAAATACATTACCTTATCTGGCGTTGATTCAAAAGAATCTTTCTTCTGGTTATCCAATGGCTGATCAGGAGGTGGTTTTATCTGATTACCCAAACAACAATTTTCAGGAGGCTTTTTGGGGGTTTTATTAATGTCAACTGTAATATCATTAAGTTTAACTTCTTCAGAATTAATTTCTTTCATTTCTTCCTGCTGGCAAGCTTTATTTTTATCATCATGTGGTTTTGACCCTAAAAATGTACTTTGAGTCACGGGATGATGCATTTCTAACGCAGGCAGTGAAAAACTGGGTCGTAATAAGCACAATTTAGGGGAAAATTGAGAGTCTAATTTATTCTGCTGCACAGAGTTAAATTTTGAGAGCTTAATTTTAGTCCAATTGGAGTTCTTTTTAGTTGAGTTGTTTATTCCATTTAGAATACATTTCACAGGCTTTGTTTTTCTACTGGGGAAGAAACGATTACACTGAACATCCTGACTTGTTTCCTTCTGATGAAGTATTTGTCTTTCAGTATCAGTCTCTTCCAATTTTATTTCTGTAGGCTTCTCCTCCTTTACATTTTCCATTTGTGAGGATTCCTTTTTTACCTCTACAGTATCTGACTCAATTTCACCAGCAATTTCTTCACAGAGCTGGAGAATGCTCCCTCGTTTGCTCTTTCCTGCTTGCTCCAGCTCATCATCTATACTTTGTTCAGGCACTGATGGCTGTGGACTTTTTTGGGATTTTGCACTAGTACTCACTTGTGTATGAACTGACTTCTTCATCTCATTCTTTTTAGAGACCACTGAAGCAGCCATTTTTGATCTTTTTATCTCAGAAGAAGTTACAGGCACAGATTTTGTTTCCTCTTTTCTAGTATTCTTCTGAAGACACTTTTCAGATACTTTTATGCACTGAGAACTACAAGTATAAGCTGTCTGATGCTCTACTTTGCGTTTTTTTCCTTTTGGGGAATTTATTACTTCATTAGTTACAGAATTTTCATCCTCTTTAGAATCAGACTTTATTTCCAGTACTTTTCTTTTCACATGTTTCTGATTTGTTTTAACTTTATTAGATTTACTCTTAGTATTGCTACGGTGCTCTTTTTTTGTTGGTGGCAAACTCTGTTTAACTGCTTGAACTTGACCCTGAATGTCTCTATTACGCAGAGACCTAGTTGAAACCTCTGTTAACTGTTGTAGTCTTTGTGATCTCCGATTAAGCTGTTCATTTGATTTAGGGGTTTTGTGCACTGACTTTTTCTGAGATAATTTCTTCTGCTTTGTAGATTCTTGTTGTGAATGTCCCTTTACAGTCACCATATTTTTATTAATAGGATTACTAGCTTTTTTATCACTGGATGCTGACCTTGTGCTCATGCATGTTCCTAATTCAGGCTGACTGACTTTACTTTCATTGGAAGATTTAACCAGTGATTTTAAAGCTTCCTTTGGACCTGATTTTTTTACTAGATTCTTTTGAGAACCTTGAATTTGTGTTTCTAGATTCTTATCTTCACTCTTTTTAATAACACTGGAGGAATTTTCTTTTGATTTCTCCTGAATAGACATCATTCCTGAGTAAGGTCCTCCTTTTCTGAGTAGTTTTTGAGATTTTGTGTCCTGGTAGTTGGAAATGTTGAATGTCTAGTATTATTACTGAGCAGCCGGTCTTAAAAATCAACTGATACTGATATACATTTTCAACAAAAATACTAGTTTGCTAAGATTTCTGTCATCCTTACGACATGAGAAAAGCTGGCATGAAGGCTGAAAGATATTTGCTTTACTTTGGATGAGGCAATAGAAATTTGAGGAAAATTTAAATCTAATCTGATATTTTCAGAACTTTTTATGAAAAAATTTTAATTCAAGTTTGATCTACCTTGTTAATTTTATTCAATTAATATCAGTTTTCAGGCCTAGCCCTATTACTGGAGGAGTTATTTATCACTGACCTGTCTGTTTTGACAAAGTTTTTGAAAACTTTTTTCTTCTGAAGTCTACAGTTATTGGACTTTGATTCATTGGAAACATGTCTTACAGTTAACACGTTTCTTTCCTTGTTTGTTGAGTCTGTTCGTTTAAATTTCTTATCTAACCACTTCCGTTTAATAAAATAGTCTATTAATATAGATTTCCTTTTGTGCTGCCATTTCTGGAAAAATAAAAAAATAAAAATTAAATTTTGTACAATTCAAGAAATTTAGCAATGCTGATACTACACAGAAATAACCATGACTTACATAAACTCTAACTTCTCTTTTTGAATTATTTAGTCTGTATACTTAAGGCTAACAGAAAAAAGTATCCCAAGCACAGTCTTATAAATAATGGAAAACCTGTCTTATCTAAGCATAGAATAGTTGAAAATCAATCTATTCCTTGAGGTTACTTACATTTCCTTTCCCACAAGAAAGAATTGATCTTTCAGCCACCATAACTCATAAAAATTTGACAAAATCATTCCTTATAATTTCCTTTCAACACATTACACAGCACCTAAAAGTAAAATATTTTAAAATGTTTAAAAGGTACAAAGATGTAATCATTCATTTACATCTCATCAAATCTATTAACCAACATGTTAATCTATACTCCATAATTTTATCCTATCCTACCATTAGTCTTCAGAGCTCAGTTTACACATAGCACTTAATTTTAGTATTTCTAACCTGAAGTAAACTATGGTACATGCATCCAATGAAATATAACATTTCTATTTCATTGATGAAAACCATTTTATGTTTTAAAAAAAGTTTTAAAATACAAAAAACAATTCATAATATAGACATACAATGGTTAAGCTAGTAAAATCCTATTTTGAGGAAAAACAGTACACATAAATAACTATATTCATAGAAAAACAGTGACACACAGTAAAAAAGGCAGATTTAAACACACACATTTACCTCTACTTTCATGTAATACCCACTAAAAAAAAAGGAACAGATTAAAACGAAGCAAGACAAAACCATAAACTCAAAGGATGAAGAACAAAAGTGTAGATGATTAAAATTAAACGTACAGAAGCTACAAAGAAGGACAAATAACTAACCTCCAGACTCAAAAAAAACCTGATCTTAAACTAGAAACTGAGGAAAGCCAAGTGAGAAGCAGCTCTACGTAAACCACAGAATCCCTCAAGAAGCAGAAATTGGCAGTACCAGGAGATGGGATACGGGGAGGAAAATGGGACTCACAAAAGGGGAAAGACTGTCACACAGCCATTCCAATTACTACCACCCAGAAGACTACCCCTGCATCACTCCCTAAAGACTGGTATAAATTTTTGGAAGGAGTAAAACAAAACGTCTTTGGTCTGTGGGCTCAACAGTCACAGCTGAGGGAGGAAGTATCATACTGACAACAGAGGGAGTAAGCAGCAGTACACATACTGATTACTGAAACCCAGTCCTTCCACCCCAAACCCTCTTTGCCTACTCAGAGACTCCCAGAGGACAGCAGCCTAGCCTATGCCTTCTAGGAAGGAGACGAAAAGATAATTTTCTAATCAATTTGACAAAACTAGAGAAAAGACCTAAAAAATACTGATAGGGCTCACAGTCATTAATCACAGACATACACAGACTCACTCACTCACACCCTACCAGCAGGAGACTACCCACCATCCAAACACAGTTTCCAATTAGTTTTTAGTGTCTCACTTGTAACCACGAGCAAAACCAGAAATCACCACATACAAGAGGAGACCCTTAAGAAAACAGGGAGGAAGTAACTTGGAAGAAAAAAACAATGCACAGACAAAAACTAAAAATACGTTAATTCATTCATGAAACAAATATATAAGAACGTTCACAGTACAAGAAGAACTCTTGAAAATTAAAACTAATATTAAAGAGATTAAAAAGTCAATAGAAGCAATAGAAGATAAAGGTAAGGAGATCTCCTATAAAGTAGAACAAAAACAGTAAGGTGGCAAATAGGAGACAAAAGAGAAGAAAAAGGACCATCCATGCAGAACAATCCAGTAATTCTGGTTTTAGAAAACAGAGAAAAAGCACTGGAAAAAACCAAGAATTCAAGAAATTTTCCTATAATTAAGACATGAGTGTCCAGATTAAAAGGGTCAAAGCATCTAGCACAATGGATAAAAAAAGATTTTGAAAAGTTTGTCATGGGAATTCCCTGGTGGTCCAGTGATTAGGACTCTGTGCTTTCACTGACGAGGGTGCGGGTTCAATTCCCAGTTGGGGAACTGCACGGTGAGGCCAAAAATAATAATAATAATAATAAAAATAAAACAACCCCCCCCCATAAAAAACAGATTAAAATTTGGGAGAATTTTAGTATTTGTCTTGAGTGGGAAAGGCTTTCAAGCCTTGTCACAAAATTCAGAAGTCAAGTTTGAGGGATAAAACTGGGGGAAAAATACTGGCAAGAAACAGCATAAGCTTATCACCATAATATATTCACCGGAAGTAAACCACAGATGGCTGGTGAAATAATAACAGAATAACAAATTAGAACCAAGTCAAAACACCATTTTTTACCTATCAGACTGGCAAAAGATCAAGAAGTTTAACAACACAGTCTTAGCAAGGATTTGCGACAGGTTACTCTCATATTACTGCAGGTGATTCAATGTCTATGCAGGACAATTTGTCAATATCAATCAATATTATATTATAAATGCTAAATATCAAACAATTTCATTTTCAAGACTTTATATTACAAATATACTTGCACAAGTGCACAGACACAAGTAAATACAAAATTCACTGGAACACTGGATCAACAGACTGAAAATCCACAACATCCATCATTATAAACTGCTTTATAATTAATGATACACTCATACTATATCATGCAATCATGTCAAAGCAGAGATGAGATTCAACTCAATTCCAGGCAAAATTCCCACAGGCTTTTTATACAGAAACTGACAAGCTGATTTTAACTTATGTGTAAATATCAAACAATTTCATTTTCAAGACTTTATATTACAAATATACTTGCACAAGTGCACAGACACAAGTAAATACAAAATTCACTGGAACACTGGATCAACAGACTGAAAATCCACAACATCCATCATTATAAACTGCTTTATAATTAATGATACACTCATACTATATCATGCAATCATGTCAAAGCAGAGATGAGATTCAACTCAATTCCAGGCAAAATTCCCACAGGCTTTTTATACAGAAACTGACAAGCTGATTTTTAAACTTATTTGAAAAAACAAAAAAAAAAAAAAAAAAAATCAACATACAATAGTCAAAGCCCTTTAAAAAAAATTCGAAATACACTATCTGATTTCAAGACTTACTAAAAAGCTACAGTAATCAAGACAAAGGGACACAGAGATCAATGGAAGAAAATCCAGAAATAGACCCATACATTTATGGTCAGTTGAAAGAAAAGTCTGAAAAAAACAGTGTTGGAACTACTGTATATCCAAGTAGAAAAAAAAAAAAAATCAACACTTACCTCACACAACACACAAAAATAAGTTGAGACTGATCACAGACATAATGTAAAACTATAAAACTCTAAAAGAAAAAAAAGGCAAAAATCTTTGAGACTCTGAGGTAAACGAAGATTTTTTAGGAAGGAATCCTGTTCATTCCACATAAAAACTTGTCCAAAAATCTTAAAAGCAGCTTTGTGTACAATAACCAAAATCTGAAAACAACCCAAAAGTCGGGTGAATGGATAAACAAAAATGTGGTATGTCAACAGAACACTCTGCAATCAAAGGGAACAAACTACTGGAACCACATGAACGAACTTCACAATCATGATGCTGAATGAAAAAGGCTAGACACAAAGACTATACAAACTATGATTCCACTTTTTGGAAATTCTAGAAAAGGCAAACTTATCTACAGTAACAGAAAGCAGATGAGTCACTGCCTGGGGTCAGGAGTGGAGGGAGAGATAGACTTTTGGAGGTAATGGAAATGATCTCTATCTTGATTATGATGGTGGTTCCAAGAGTGTGTAAATCTGTCAAAATCCACCAAATTGTACACGTTAAAAGGGTGCAGTTTATTATACATAAATTATGCTTTAATAAATCTGTCTAAAAAATAGAACTGCAAGTAACTGATACGGACCTACAACCGAGAAACACTGTTAAGCCAAATAATGCAAGGTGCTTAACAGGGTGTACTTCGCTTTGTGTAAAAAGAAAAAAAGGGAGACAGTGGGAGGAAGGAAAGATATAGAAACATATGCTTGTTTATGCACACAACAGGTATGGAAGAATACACAAGAAACTAGTAATAGTGAAGACTTCTGGGAAAGAGAACTACGGGGCCAAGTGTGAGAAGTGTGACAAAAAGAAACTTACTTTTCACTACCCCATTTTATTATGTAAACATATAATCTTGTCAAAAAAAGTTACATTTCTCTGAATATATTAAGTATATTTGGCACACTGACCAACTATCTTTGAAGGCACTGAACTGTAATAGTATAGGCCACTTACCTTCCTGAAATGAAAATCACATAACTTTTTTCTTCAGGTTGATGGATGATGCTTCTAATGAATGATGCCTCTAATAACTTACTGTGTGTTTTTTGGTTGTTAATCTTAAAAAAAATAATAATTCTATAGCTAAAGTAGAACA